CCCATTCCGTACTCTGGGAAAAATCCAGTCCGGGTTTTCCCCATTCCGTACTCAGAAAAATTCAGTCGGGTTTCCCCATTCCGTACTCAGGAAAAATCCAGTCGGGTTTTCCCCATTCCGTACTCCTGGGAAAAATCCAGTCCGGGTTTTCCCCATTCCGTACTCCTGGAAAAATCCAGTCGGGTTTTCCCCATTCCGTACTCCTGGAAAAATCCAGTCTGGGTTTTCCCCCATTCCAGTACTCTGGAAAAATCCAGTCCGGGTTTTCCCCATTCCGATACTCTGGAAAAATCCAGTCTGGGTTTTCCCCATTCCGTACTCCGGAAAAATCCAGTCCGGGTTTTCCCCATTCCGTACTCCTGGAAAAATCCAGTCTGGGTTTTCCCCATTCCGTACTCCTGGAAAAATCCAGTCCGGGTTTTCCCCCATTCCGTACTCCTGGAAAAATCCAGTCCGGGTTTTCCCCCATTCCGTACTCCTGGAAAAATCCAGTCCGGGTTTTCCCCATTCCGTACTCCTGGAAAAATCCAGTCGGGTTTTCCCCATTCCGTACTCCTGGAAAAATCCAGTCCGGTTTTCCCCATCCCCGCTCGCTCCCGGTGTTCCCGGAGGACGCTGCGGGACCGGCAGTCCCGGAGCTGTGCGGGGTCCGGCGGGAGGGGCTGGGGCCTGCGCTGGCGGTCGGGGCTCGGCTCGGCTCCCGGGCTGGCGGGGCTCGCTGTGGAGCGCTCCGTGCCCGTTCCGTGCGGGCTCGTGGGGAACTCCCCTTCCTCGGGGAATGACCCGTCCTGCGGCTTCTGGAGGGTGAGCTGAGCTCGGAACAGCGCAGGGCGGCTGGGATGGGCAAAGGCAGCCTCCTGCTGCTGCTGGAGCGCTTAGCAACCCAAAGAGGGAGGAGATTTTCTCCCCTGCTTACGGAGCACGATAGTGGGGCTGAATCGTTCCCAGGAAGTGTCCGCTTGAACGAGGTGTTTCCCAGCGACATTCCAAGAGCCCTGAATGCTGGGATTTGGGTCTTTGCGGCGACTGCTCTCTGGAAGCTCTTTGGAGAGAGGGCAGTCCGGCAGGTGTGCTGTCCCACACTCGGAGGGCAGGCGGCATCGCTTCCCTGTGCGCCCCCAGGGAGCCGCCACCTCTCCCCGGCTGGGAGAGGGGGAGCAGCGGGCGCATTTCCCGGCTGCACCGGGCGGAGGAATCCTCATCCCCACCCGGGGCTTCCGCGGAGAGCCGGTACTGCTGCTGCCGGTGCCCGGGTGCCCGTGGCCGGTGTCCCGGCGCTGCCGGATCCTTCCCGGCCGTTCCCTGTGGCGGAGCGGCCGCGGGGCAGCGGGGCCAGCGGAGCCTCCGCGGCTCAGGGGCCGCGCGGCCGCGGGGAGCTGGAGGGGCCGGCGGCCCCCCACGGGAAGAACCCCCCTGTCCTTGGATCCCTGCGGCATCCCTTGGGAGCTGCAGCCCGGGCACGTGTGTTTTCCAAGGCATCGCTGGGGACAGGACAGGATTTGGGCAGGAGCTGCGTGGTGCCCTCAGCACTTGCCCTTGTGCAGTCCAAAGAAAAGGTGTTTTATTGCATTCCCAGGAACTGCTCCAACAGTTGTAGACTTCCCCCTACCTTCTCAGGGTAAGGATGAGGTGACAGCAAGAAGGCAATTGGTGGGGTTGGAGGTCAATTGCTGCATTTCGGTGAGATGTGTAACCTGTGGAATGGGTGTATTTCCTAGAAGAAAACATTCCGTAGTGGCAGAATGGTTGCCACAGACACCACGTGAGTGCCACGCCACGGCGTGAGCCTTCAGGCCCTGCAAGTCAGGAGCTCCTGGCACCAGTGAGGGCTGGGTGTGCCCCACGGCTCTGTCCCCCTGCAGCTCTGGAGCGTCGGGAGCTGGAGGACGTCCTGGTGCCGTCGCTGAGCTGCGGCAGGAGGAGCTGCACTGCCCCATCCACCTGCTCTGCCGGGCACTGTGCAACCCGGGCAGTGCCCTGCGGGTGCTCCGGTGAGAGACGCGTGCTCGGCGCTGAGCCCAAACCGCGGCTGGGATGGGGGTGTGGGTGGGGGCACCCAAACCGAAGGGGAGTGGGTGGGTGATGCCCTGGGAAAAAGGACAGGAGCCGTCCGGGCACACGGTCAGCCCTCACGGTGCCCCGCTGCTCCCTGGGGACAGCGGCACGCGGCCGGGATGAGGCCGGGCCCCACTGGGCTGTGGGAGGGTGTGGTCCCTCGGGTTGGGTGGGCAGGTGAGCATCCGGGACTGGTGTGCTCAGCCCGCCCTGCTCTGTGGCTCTCCCGCAGGCTGCAGTGGTGCCGGCTGTCCGAGAGCTGCTGCGCCGAGCTGGCGGCGCTGCTGGCGGAACACCCCAGCCTGGCGCGGCTGGAGCTGGGCGATGGCACGCTGGGCGACCGCGGCGTGCGCCTGCTCTGCCAGGGGCTGCGGGGGCCTGGCTGCCGCCTGCGCGTCCTGCGGTGAGTGGCACCGGCACATGCAGAACCCCCCGGCATCCCACGGGCACCTCCCACAGGCTGGAGCGGAGAGCTGGGGCGGGCGGTGCCTTCAAAGAGTCCCTTTGGGGTAGAATTGTCCCTCTATCACCACTCTCCGCCATTGACACGACCTCAACCACAGAGCACGGCTGTGATGGGAGCGAGGAACCCCCCACCACGGGGAGGAGCCAGTGCTGTGCCAGCAGGACCCGCTGCTGCGCTGGGACTGTGGGGCAGAGCCCGCCTGTCCGGGCAGAGCTGGGGCACGGTGGGCTGCACCGACCTGGGCGACTGGGCACCTCCTGGTACTCCGGCATGGCGGTGTAGTCCAGCTCCTCGTAGATGGCGTTGGGGATGGCACCCACGGCTCTGCCGGGGCCTGGAACAAGAGGCAGCGCTCACCCAGGGCCGTGGGCACCGTGGCTGGCACCGGGGTCACCCACTGCCCACTCTCCGAGCCGTTCCACATGGGGGGAGCCCCTGAACCCCCAAACCGGCTCTGTCGCGGTACCTCCCCACCGGGACCCACCTCGGCGCCAAGCGCGGACACGGCACATCAGCACGGCCAGGGCACCCAGGGCCAGGCACAGCAGCGTCCCCAGGACCACGCACAGGACCACTGGCACCGCCACAGTCCCCCTGGCCTCCTGCCTGCTTGGCACTGGAACAGTCCACCTGGCCGCCACAGGACCGGTGACGCTGGTGACACCTGTGGGGACACAGGCAAGCAGTGAGGGGAGGGGGATGCCAGCCAGCCTGATGGGGGCGGACTGCTGGGGAACTGGGGGACAGGCACAGGCAGAGCTACCTGTGCAGGTGGCACCGTCCGGGCACGGGGTGGTTGGTGTCTCGCTGTTGTTGTCACTGTCCTCCACACAAGCCACGTGGGCGTCCCCTCCCTGGCCGCAGGCCTGCAGGTGCCAGGGTGCCGAGGGGCACCCCCAGAGCGAGTGGGCCCCCTCCTCGCAGCCCACCCAGGCCAGCCAGGCGGGGGCCGGGTGCTGGGCGGGGCCGGGTGCCAGCTGTCCCCCGTCCCCACAGCCCAACTCCCGGCACACAACGGCGGCGGCCTGGAGGCCCCAGCGCTCCTGGCAGATGGTGCTCCAGGTACCACTGGCATAGACCTCCACGCACCGAGCGCAGTGCCCGACACTGACTGCCAGCCTCACCCGCCGGCTGCCTGCGGGCATGGAAGGACCGGGCTGGGGGGCTGCTCAGGGCACCAGCACCCCAGCCCTACTCGGGACACCCACCTGAACAGACGATGACCATCTCCTCAGGGCTGTTGATTGGTGCAGGGCCCATTCCTGAAACACCAGAGATCTCCTCTGGCACATCCTCCATCTCCTCGAGGCTCCTGGTCAGCTCAGGTCCCTTCCCTGACATGTCGTCCATCTCCTCCATCATGACATCCACCTCCCTGGAGCTGCTGGTCAGTGCAGTGGGTGCCATACGCAAGGCTGTGTAGACATCACTTGGCAGGCCACAATACAGCACAGAACATACCATGTAGACATCCCATGTCTTCCACTGCTCCACAGGCACACGGCGCCAGGTCGGAGTGGTTATGGCCTCCTCCAGCCTCCCGTCGGACCGGCTCTCACCCTCCACCAGCTGCAGGGAGTTGACGACGCCTGTAAAATGACCTGGCTCATCGCTCCCCTCATCCCAAAACAGCCCTGAGCGCTCCACTCCCAGTTCCTGGGGTGTCCCAAAAGCCCTTGAGGGCTCTTCCCACAGGTGCCACACAGACCTGAGCAGTTGACGGCGGCGGCGTTCCCCGGGGTGCAGGGGGGCTCCCCCAGCACCGCCACGGGGCACTCCCCCGGGTGCCGCTCGCTCCCGCTGCAGCCAAAGGCGTCCGACCTCAGCGGCCCGTCCCCACTGCCGAAGGAGCCTCCTGGGGGCATGGTGACAGCATGGCCACAGCCCAGGTGGAGGCACAAGACTTCGGCATCGGGCAGGTCCCAGTCGCTGGCACAGACGGACCCCCACGTGCCCCTCACCGCCACCTCCACACGCCCGGCACAGCCCGAGCTGCTGTTCCCCAGCCGGAAGCCCGTGTAGGCTGTGGCAGAAAGGGCATTGAGGGGGTGATGGCACAGGGACCCCCAACACCCCCGGTGTCCCCGGTGCTTATGGGAGCAGATGATGGTGGCGTGGCCAGCGCAGCCCTGGCTGTGGGGCACCCGCTGGGAGCAGGTGCTGAGGAGGGTCTCGTTGCCAGTGCAGTTGAATTCTCCCTCCCAGAGTGGCCCCGTTCCCACCCCAAACCAGCCACTGCCGGGGATGGCGAGCGCTGTGCCACAGCCCAGTTCCCGGCACACCACCTGGGCCACCTTCATGTCCACGTGCTCCGCGCACACGCCAACCCAGGCGTGGCGCTGCCGCACCTCCAACCGCCCGGTACAGTCTCTATCACCCTCGACCAGCCGTGAAAACCCTGCTGGAGCAGCGCAGCGTTGGCACTGAGGGATGTGCCGGGAGCGCTGTGTCCCTCCCAGCCTGGCTCCTACCTTGGCAGACGACGGCAGTGTCAAAGTCATGGGTACCGTTGTAGGGTCCCCAGCCACGGATCTCGCAGTCCCAGAGTGTGGCCTCATCTCCCTTGCAGTCCACCACGGCCAGGTTGATGGGCCCGGCCCCTGCACCAAAGCGGTCGCGGGCAGCGTAGGCGCCGATCGCCGAGCCACAGCCCAGCTGCTGGCACACCACCTCGGCGTCCTCCATGTCCCAGATGTCATCTCCCACCGAGCCCCAGCGTCCCCGCAGCTTCACCTCCACCCTCCCGGCGCAGGGACCACCGCCGGCCACCAGCCTCAGTTCCACGGCCTCTGCACCGGGGCACCGGCACAGCTCAGCCCTGCCCGGCACAGCCCGGCACGAGGTGGGTGCCCCGGCACGGCCAGCCCGGCCCCCTCACCTGTGCAGATCACGCCCACATCCCGCTCGTGGCCGCAGAAGTGCTGGCCCCATCCAAAGTGCGGACACTCCTCCAGAACCTCCTCGGTGCCGTCGGCAGAAGAAGGGCTGGAGCCAGATCCGGCCGGTGCCCTGCCCGAACGGGGCGTACGGGGACGCCGAGGCCACGCGGCCACAGCCCAGCTGCCGGCACACCACGGTGGCCCAGCGGGCCTCCCAGTCGAACTCGAAGACGCAGACAGAGCCCCACTCACCGCTGTGATTCACCTCCACGCGTCCGGCACAGCGCCCGCCGCCGCCCACCAGCCGCAGCTGCCCGGAGCCTGCGGCATGGAGGGTCCTGAGCCGGGACCGGCACTGGCGGGTCCCCGCTCCCACTACCCCGGCACTCACCCCCACAGAGCTGCAGGCACAGGAGCAGCCCCAGCGCCCTGACAGGCCCCATCCCACCGTCCCGCACCCCCAGTGCAGGCGGCGGATGTATCGGTAGGGCAGCCTTTATCAGGAGGGGGATCTCCCAGCTGCAGGGCCACGGCCTCCAATAACCTGCTTCGTGCCCAAATATGAGGCTCGGCTGCGCTTCTGGCGTCACACACCTCGCCACAGTGGGCCGGCACACGGATGTCCCCGGGGGGAGCCGGCCCCCCCCACAGCACCTGGGCCGAGGGGGCCCCTCCTGTATCCCCCCGTGGGTCCAACTCTGCCGCTGGAGCCTGGCAAGAGCCATCCCCCTGCTGACAGCATTCACCCCCAATCCCACCAGAGCCTCCGAGGGACCGCCCCGAGGAGCGGCACGGGGCAGAGCCCCAGGGCTCCATCCCCGAGTGCCCCCTCCCCGGGCGGTGGGAGCAGCCCCGGCTCCCCCCGGGGCGGCAGGTCCCGGTCCCTCGCGCAGGCGGTGGCACATGGCGCTGCTGCCGCAGCTGTGCCCCCGCGCTCGCCTCGCCCCGGGGCAGGAAGGAGGCGGTTACCGCCCGGCGGGGACGCGGCGTCCGCACCGACCGCACGCGGCTCCTGCCACCTGCGCCGGCACCGATAACGCCGGGACTCTGCACTGCCCACGCCCCGCGGCTCTGTCCCGCTGCAGCTGCGGCT